TCTTATCTTATCTTATCTTATGGATAGGTAGTGCACATAAAACTGTAATGGTTAAACAGCTTGTGTATTTATGTATAAGTAAAAGTGATATACAGATAAAGCTTAACTTCACTGGTATACTCGACCTGTGCAGGTAAAGTGTCACAGTGATAAGCTTGTGAGTTCAACAGTCTTTTAGCCTGTGGGATGGAGCTGTCCCTGAGCCTGGTGCGGGACCAGATGCTGCGGTACCGTCTACAAGACAGCTGGCGTGGCTGGGGTGATTGGGGTCTCGGATGATCCTGTTGGCCTTCTTCCTGCACTGCTGGGTGTAGAGGTCCTCTGTGGATGGCAGCTCCATCCCGGTAATGTGCTGTGCAGTTTTCAAAACCCTCTGTAAAGTCTTACGGTTGAGGGCGGTGCAACTGCCGCAACCAGACAGCGATGGAGGCAGTCAGGGATACTGGTTCATATCCTGGAGTCCATGTTCAAAGGTGAAAATGATAGATGTAAGATAGATGCATATTTGTTTGACTATTTCTTTTCCTTTGTGACCAATAGTTTTATATTTCTCAAATGTCTCATACACATAGAAACACAGTTATGTTTCAGGAAAAAATCTGTGAACTATTTGCCAAAAAAAGTCAAGAAAAGAGCCAAAAAGTCCAGAAAAAGTTCTTAAAAGAGAAGAAGAGAAGAAATAAATGTGCACTTTACAGATTACGGATTATTTAACATGATCAGCAGATATGTAACATCTATGCGATGTTAACTGAGAAGGTTTTTGGGTCTAAAATTGTGTGTGTGTGTGTGTGTGTGTGTGTGTGTTTATTTGTGCTGTTGTTTGTGTAAGAACTTCCTTAAACATGTCATTACGTGTGGGTGTTTGTGTGCGATCCATCACACTTGGATGGATAATCAAGGCCTTCCGAGCGCACAACAGGATAATCACATCTCTCTTCTGATTGAACACATGGGGATGGGGTTATCCAGCTCTGTTGTGTTCGTATTGTCTGGAATAGGACACTGTTTCATGGTTAATAAAACTATAGGGCTTTTACTGTGGTAAATATTATATATTTGTTGGGAACTGGGAAGATACTTGATACTTGACCACTATCCTCTTCCATGGCACCGTCCTGCACTCTAACCCTGTTGGCTAAATGCATCCAGTAGCAAAATACATTCTTATCTACACTCTATCGCGATTAGATTCTCTAAACCCCTTAAGCCAAAGAATCAACACTGAAAGCGGTAATAGCCTATCATCAAAATATCAGTCGAGCAAATAAAAAACGCTTCAGACTTAATATATGCTTGAGCATTAGATAAGACGTGTAACTACATTATATCGGCCCATTTTCTGTCTTTGCAGTTCTTTGCTCAGACAGTTGTACAACATCACATTTTGCCAGAGGGCAGGTTTAATTCTCCAAAGAGACCCCATTTAAGCATTCATTATAAGATCCTCTCAAATATGAGAAAATGTTTGAATTACCTTCCAGATTCACAAAGTTATTACTCAGAGACTGAAAATAGTTCCCTGGGTTTTAAACCTGCTCTTTTATATTGACCATTAAAATCCAGACACAGAATATGCAGGTCAAGTGTGGATGTATGAAATACAAGAAACACCTCTCTCTTGTGGTCTCATTGAGTACTACAGTCATGACTGTGCTTGCCTTTGAGCCATTAGTCAATTTATTAGTAATGTTCATTCTCTGTCAAGATTCAAATTAAATAAAAAATGTCAATGAAAATTAGATCAAACATTTCTTTCTACCCCTCCCATTTTCCCTGAATTCATGCCCAACGTCAACAACCCTGATGTGAACCCGTAGTGTGTTTTGTGTTGACACTCCAGGCTCAGTGAGTGAGCGATTATGAATCACAACCACAGTGTAGCCACAGAAAAATTACACGAGTGACATTTGGAGTGTCGCACACAGCCGGAGAGGTTAGTGAAATACAAGCCGCTGCTGGAATGTCCACAATGTTTCACAGTACTGTAGCAGAGAGACAGAACCACTGTGGACCTGCTTGTATTTGCCTACAGGCAGTGTTACACTCTGAGCTCCTCTCCAGTGGTGGAATAGGAAAGTGCTGCCGGACAGACTGATGTATATTTGGAAAAATAAAATCTGTATTGCATGTTTTTTTTAATACTTAAAAAAGTATACTCATTTGCAGGCAATATCTCACCTGCTAACTGAATTCCATGTGAAACTTCATTAACAATTTTTAGCTGGCTAGACAAGTGGGCTACTGCACTTAAGTACAACTTTGAGGCACTTTAAATAAGTAATTCAACGTATATTACTTTATACTTCTATTCAAATACAGAACATTTTACATGTCAAACAAGATATAATGTAGTAATATAGAATAAGCCACCCAACTGTAAACAAGATGGTTCCACCTCAACCAGCTACAACAGTAAAATGCTACTTACATATAAATGCATTGACAATAGTATTTTAATTAAAAATATATTATATTAAAACACAAACACATGGGCCATTTTTCTGAATAATGAGCTGTTTTTTATATCTTGCTGGGATATACCAGGAAATATGGTACATTTTTACTCTACTACATTTATCTGACAACTGTAGTTTTAGCAAATTATTGTTTTATAACAAAAAATACACCCAGTTACCATTTTATCAGGCATTCATAGCTAACCGTAGTGCAGCCTCATACAACATTAGGGTAATTAAATATAAGAACACAATACAATTCAACAGACAAATGATGGCCTCCAAAAGGACCTGTTGTTACCTTGATTATGGGAGGATTTATTACTAGGCTGATGTCTCAAACAGCATTAGTTTTAGCCTGGTGTGCCAAAGAAACTAGATAATGAAATAAATAAGAAAAATATTATGTAATGTTTTTGATTAAACTGCCCAACAGTATATAACATAGTTTTAGAAAATAGTCTACTGTTGAGCTACAACATAAAAAAAGGCTGCTTGATGGATCATTAATAATAATTCACTACACAATGCTTGCAGCCTGCATAATGGAGTACTTTCACTCAAGGATTTGAATACTTTTTTCACCACTGCTGACTAGAAATGGCTCTAATTCTCCTAAAAACAAGAATCAGGAATATAATGCTCAAGACCAGAGCAAAATATAATATATTCAGCCAGAATAAAAAGGAGTAATAGAGGAGAAGTACAAAGAAAAACTGAAATTGGAGAATATCTGAAATTTTCTCTTTATTTCTAATTTAACAAAGACTGAGCACATAAAAGCAGAAGATTTAATAGGAATAGAAATATGATTCAGAGAGCAGAGAATGTAGTAATGGGATTTTCAGTGGAAATATTGTGATTTGAAAGCATAGTGCCATGTAGAATATAAACAACAAAAATACTGCTCACTTACAGCGTGATGAAACACATGATGCAGTATGACACACCGCATGTAACCTCCCTCCCCCTCAGTCACACAATAAGTACAATTAGAGGCCATTTGTTCTCTACTCTGGTGTTGATGGTACAATCAAGGGTGTTCATAATGACTCACATTTGGAAGGAAAGGTACACACACAGTGCTGCCCCCCACCCCTAAACACACTCCCCAGGCACATCTAAAGAGATCAAAGACAAAATGTGCATTTTTAATTCGTTTAAAATCCTTCCAATGATACAGAAATTCGTATTTCAGAAGGATAAAAATGCACTTTCACATTGCTGGAATGACTTATATGCAGTAGGCTACATGAGCGATTACAGCAATGTCAAATGATTAATGGTATCAGCTGACCTCTATCAGTTTCTAATGTGATCTCCACACCTTGTTAGCTGGAGACAGTCTGGACTGTCGGGGACGAGCCCTGCGCGAGACAGTCTTGTCACATAATAAATAACTTGCCCTTTTATTGTGATCAAACCATTTTTATTGGAGTCATTATCAGGTGAAATGTGCAGGGAACTGCTATCTTGGATGATTAATTTATGTTGTTGTAGTAAAAGCACATTATGCATTTGAGGAAAAAAAACAAATCAGTATTACAATGATGGTAACTGCTTTCACTGTTAGATAATGTGTTACTCTGTGTGTTTGCAGAATAGGGCCTGTTTCATTTCTTGTAAAAAAAATCTTGTAAAATAGTGTGAGCTAGTCAACAATTTTTGGTGTCATATCGATGTGTCTAACTTGACGTTCATAATGTGGTGTCTTAAAAGTGATTAACACAAATCTCTGTTAATTTTGTCACTATTTTAGCTAGTTTTTCCTCCTGCATTAACAGGATGATTCATGACATATCTGAACACAAAGAAACAGAAAGAAATGGACGTTTTATACAAAACAGTGAAAGATTTAATGTTCACAACAACATGGAAAGTAAGAAATTCAAACTGCTTAAATACCACTTCATGTTGGAATAATGCAACATTACATTAACTGTCATAATTAAATATGTCTCATTGGGTATATAGCATGTATAGAATAAATGGGCATTTACATTACATATTTACAATCTCATGTACAATATAAAATCTGCTTGCCACAGGTCCTCAGATTCAGCTGAGTCACCTTCAGATTTGCACAAAACTAGTTCTTATCTCTTGTTGCAAATGCAGCTGCTGTTTGCCCGCCTGTGGCTACAAATCCACGTCAAAGCCAAGTTTCCTTCACAGGACGTGGTAGACGGGCCTAGATCCGGGGCTCTCCGGCGTGCAGGGCTGTGAGTCGGAGCTGCCGGGGGAGAAGGTGGCCGTGTCTCTCAGAGCTGCCGGTCCGCAGCTGGACTCCACCGAGGACAGACGGTCCACGATGCTGGAGAGGCACTCCAGACTGGAGGCTCCGACTGTCTTATCGCACAAACTCTCTGATAAGAGGAAGACAAAGTCAGGATGTAAATACAGGGATCATTTTAGTAAGTATAATACCACATATGTATGATGTGTGTAAAAATGCATGACATGTATAGACAGAGGATTTTAGTTTATGAAAAACATTTTCATTTAAATGTTTTATCAGGTTTTTCATTTTATAACAGTTAAATCCTGAAACTATAGGACTCCCAGATTATCCAGCATTCAGTGATTCAGTTATTAGATTTTTAAAGCGCTATGCTGGCATGAATGCATGTCATATTCATATCAGGCTGCTGTTGCTGTCAAAAGGTCTTACCGTTCTTTGCATATGAATAACTGTTGCTGTAGTTTGCATTCAGCTGTTGCCACACTGGACTGTTGCTGTCAACCTGCAAGAAAATGAGAAATAAAATTTACCCTTGAATTCTTTAAAAAAAAAAAAAAAACACAGGGAACAGAAATGTGTTATGTTTGTATAAATATATATGGGCTAGGAAGAAGCAGAAAAAGGGCAAAAACATCCAATGCCCTTCATGATTTGCTGGACAGGCTAATAAATCCTGAATTCCAAAGTTATGGGCTTCTTTATTTCACATCCACCTTAAAGCCAAAGTGGCAGTGTGCACTCCCTTCCCCTGCCCGGGTCTGAGCGTGGCGAATTGATTGTATCAGTGGAAGCAACACCAGTTTGTGCAAGATGACACTTTCTCCAAGTAAATCTGCAGAAAATCCTGGCAGCGGTGCAGAACATGCAGTCAGGATGGAATGCAGAAAAGCGCCCAGTTTTTCCTGCCAGACTTCAGTAAGGTGGATTTAGTTTGGTTTATTAGGGCTATAAAGTGTCCGGTGGTGGGAAAGCCATTACTCCATCCAGCATTATAAGTTCTTTTGTATTAGCTGATACACTGTCTCACTTTCAGACTGTTGTCGAGAACAATTAATTAATCCTTACTTCTAATAACAGAGGAGAGAAATACATGTAAAACTACTGAATAGATGTTTGTATTAAAGAATTCAGGAGAGTATGACATGCATGGGGAAGCATGGTAATTGAGGTCTTGGGGCAAGAAAAGTTGATTTGATTAATAGGTTTCTAAATTGGAAATCCTGTCTCTATTTGGAAATGAAATACCTTACACGGTAATGAGAAATGGCAATGGTGCATTCGATTAAACGCAAGACTCTGGAGATACTTTGGTCAACAATAAAGGCCTTTTCAAGTGAAGTTTCTGTCTTGTATGCAGTTGTAGTTACTTCTCTGCCTGACATTGTATCGGTTTTAGAGCTGCAGCAACGGCCAGCAAGACTCCGCACAACCAGATGTTGGCATGAAGAGGCAGAACATGTGGATCAGAGGTCTTACCATGCCGTCAGAGCAGCTGGACAGAGGGCTCCCAGGCTCCGAGCTGCTCTCTCCAGGCAGGCCGTAGTAGTTTTCCACCTGCTCATGTAGCAAGTCCTGCAGGCTCTCGATGTACTGGATGGCGTTGCGCAGGATCTCCACCTTGGGCAGACGTTGGCTGGGGTTGGCCGAGGTGCAGCGCCTCAAAGCCTCAAAAGCATGGTTAACTTTCTTCAGCCGCCGGCGCTCACGCATGGTGGCAGCCCGTCTGCGGTCCACAAAGTTGGACTTGCGCTTGCAGGCCTTGCAGGCCCACTGGAGGCAGTGTCCAGGCTGGTGAGGGGCTCCGGGGGCCCTGACGTGTTCATCCTCCTCAGAGCCAGTGAGCTCTCCACTGGGGCCAAACTCCAGGCTGTCTGGAGATGAAGCGCACGCTCTGTCGTAGTAGACCTGGGATGGTGAAAAGACGTCCATAGTGTGTTGAAGAAAGAAGTCTGAATGGATGGAGAGATGGGCACAAAGGAAGTAAGGAGGGTAGAGGAGTGGGGTGAGAGAGAGGAGACCTCTGAGTGATATGAGGGGTCTGTTGCCCTGGGCCCCCCTTATATGCCCCCAGGCCGGAGCCTAGGGCCCACATTGGCCAGATCTAATTACCATGGCCCATTGGCCCAGCCAGAAGGCAGGCTGGAGTTAGCTCAGCTCCCTCCCTGCCCCATCCCAACCCGCTGCCTCTCACCCCCCAGTACCCTGCAGAGTTTCCCACATCTGCACTTACTGGTGTTTTCCTACTCATCACCACTCTCTCCTTCCAAGGGCCCTTCTCCTGCAAGGCCATGATGAATACAATACTTGGGAATGTTTCAGGATTGTGGGTGAACATTTGCAGCTTTAACCACCACATGACCTGTTTTCAAAGCACCATAAGTGCTTCATTTCGCTTGATTTAGCTGCAACCGGCCTGCAGACATCATGCCATAGCTGACAATGAAAGTGACACTTAGCTATGAAGACAAAAATATTAACGGGAGCGTGTTTTGTTTAGGCAAACTGCAGAATAAGAGGGTGACCACTCGTAGGAGTATGCGGGCCAATTTTTACGGTGGAGACAACAGCGTTGCAGATGCAGCCCAGCTGCAAAGGGAGGTGTAACATTTCAAGCCCTGTGAATTCACATTACAGTGGTAAGCCCACTCTAAACACCCTGGGCTCATCACTGAAGGTGCTGCAAATGAAGTGATCTCTGTTTGCCAAAGCTCATTAAAACAGTAATTACACAATTGACACCACTGCGCCCAATTCCCTGCACCATTTTGCCTCCAAGGACCAAATTTTAACCATTAAAAGTCATTGACACAAGTCAAGTACTTCAATTCAGCACACAACAGATGGTGCTGTAGTTTTTATTCAACTGGAGGACTGAGGGTATGAGGGGCTTTAAGCAATGAGAAATTCAAAGTTGTTTGTAGGGCAGAAATCACAGCATGACTTCTATTTGTTCTTTTTTATAAGAGGACGAAACTGGGAAGATAAATTCATTAGATATTTTATTTTTTTTAAAGTGCATTAGACAATCAGACTTTTATCAAATGTAATTTACTTATATGAGTAGAAAGAGTCTGCTTTGTGCTGTGATTTTACAAGCTGTGCCAAGAAAATAAAGACGCTGACATTAAACTGCGCCGGACTGAAGTTGAATTGTCTCTCCATTTGCAGAATTGTTCTCCTCCAGAAGACCGAAAGAGGCTTTTGCAGTTCGACCCTGACGAGTTTAGGTAATGATGCTGTTGACAGCTTACAAGGATACAATGCGGATATTTCTCACAATGTGTCAAAACGTTTGGCGAGCCCCCTTCTCTGGGAACTGTGCGCACCTAAGAAAACACTAGTACCTGCTGCCTCTGAATTGCCGTCGGAGTTTGGATTAGGCACAGCTGAAGAAGACATCGGCTCGCCTGCGCTTGTAGCCGCTGAGAAGATCAAAGGCTGGTAAAGCTGAGAACAACGAGGGACAATGAGAAAACCTTGTATCAACCGATAGCTAATTGAGGCTGGAGTTAGATTGGCGCAGCACATGGTGTTATTGGGAGCACACTGGAGCTTATATTGGCGCAGACATTGCGCGCAGGCCGTGCTCTGTGATCTGTGCGCTCGGCTGGTCTCTTGGGAACTCTCTTGAGTTTGCTTTTTTGTTGTTCTCAAGGGTCAGAGACAGAGTTAAGTGAAGGGCAGGAGGTGATCTTTTATGTCCATCTTCCTCACGTCTGAAAACCTTATTTCTTCTAAAGTGTGTCATGCTTTGACTTAATATGCTGCTTGTTTGGTGCAACACAAGAACCCTGACAGAGAGGCAATTCATCACTTACATTCCTGTAAAATAGATACCTCTTTAAAGCCCATATTTAATTCTACTTTCATATTTAAGTATATTTTAACAGCCAAAATACTGTTGGTGAAATTTGATTAGGGGAAATCAGTTTTGTGAGTAAATAAAGTTTAATACAAAAATAAAGGTGCATTCTTTTGCAAAACTCAGTGGCTTCTTGTTAAAGGCTATTTCACCCCCACATAAAGTCCAAGTCCATTTTACAGTCCCCACAAGAATTAGTGAAACAAAAAAACATTTTGAGTGGCAACGCCATTTGTTTGGCAGTGAGCAGAAAGAGGTGCACTGCCAGTCCTGCTGCAGTGAATCCTTTTCCTAGCAGGATATTCAAGGAAAGTCTGGATAAATCAGAGCACTCAGGCTCCAGGCTTATCCCCTTCCCCCCCACCCTCTTCCTATACCAGCTCGCCTTTCATCAGCTTTGACTTTTAAAACACTGCCTTCACAGCCAAATGAGAATTATATGGTGTCATCAGTAACACCGAAATCCCTGTAAAGTTAGACAAGAAAGAGTCGGGGCTCTGAGACGGTTCTGCTTCTTTGTGGGGAGTGCATGCTTAAAATAAGACAGTAATGTTCCAAACACAGCTGGATAGCTTTATAGCAAACACTTCTAATAGCACAAAATGCAGGTTTATATAGAGTATTTCAACTAAATATTTGCATTTTTAGACAGTAATAAGTGCACACATTTAACCAAACAACTCTTTCTCTTACACAAATTGTTATTGTTGATTTTGTTGGTCAAATGAAGTCATTACCAAACAGACATTAAATTAGCAGATACCCATGGAGCTGTAAAATGTAGTGAAGTAACACAACTGAGTGAGTGAGCAAGAACCCATTAAAATCACATTAGTGTTTGGAGATATCATGTTTCTGTCTGGTTCCTACAGAAAACAGGATATTTGGTAAAAGATATGAATGGTTCTGTTGAAAAGAGCCATAAGAGCCCTGGATTACTGTATGTTCTTCAGTTTTTAATTCAGCTCAGTGGTGGAACAAGTATTAATATCCTTTACTGAAACAAACATACCATTAGAAATATGTAAAACAAAACAAAAAAAACTACTACATTACAGGTTTGTCCTGCATTAATTTTTTTGTATTTTCAGTAAAAACATGGTAATTATGAAAGTAGTTTTGCATCATGTGGTTTAAGGTGAAGGGATGTAGTGGAATAATAACTGTAGAAACACTACTCTAATACACAAATTAACACATATTCCAAGGGGACAGTAGTTTTGCCTACCAAGCCACTAAATTAAAAAAACTTAATTTAACACAATCGATCAGTTAAGACCATATTTGATGCTCCTGAAAACAGGGACCAATGAAGCAGCAAATAAACATTAAATTAAACCTCAAAGATGAACAATTGTAAAAACACTAATTATGGTACATTATAGTAAAATTAAATACATGAATTTAGCTTCAGCAATATTGGAAATTAAAGTATATTTACTAAAGTACTGTGCTTAAGAACACATTTGGGGCTGCTTTACAACTTTAGATACTATTTTAAAGTAGTAAAAGTAAGTTTGTTTCAACCTTTATTACCTTTAATGTCCTGCAGAATCTTTTCTGACTCAGTAGAAAGAACCAGAGGAGGAGTTCAAACCATACTTAAGTTTGAAGGTCGTCCCCCTTTCTGCGCTTTTAGTGTCTAAAAAAGTGTGTTGAGTGACCAGTTAAAGATGCTCCACAGAACAATTCGGAGGGTCTTTTGTTCTCACAGCTATGAAACATTCACATGCGATACTTATACTCTTTAAAATGCTGAATGACATATGGAGGTCTCTAGCTTCTGATAAACCTTACGTGTGACACTTTACGTGTGTGTGTGTGTGTGTGTGTGTGTGTGTGTGTGTGCAGGCCTGAGATATGAGGCAGAGTCCCAA